GGGCAAATGTTTCCGCTAGCGCCCTGATCTCGTGCGGGTTTGACCCCGCTACCGGTAACCCCCGACACCGGTACGCCAGATTGATGACAGAACGAAGCCATAACGCAATCGAGTTGCGAGTTATGTCAGCAGTGCGATTAGGGTGACACAATATGAACAGACGATCACGCAATTGTCTGCGTTCATTCAAAGCCTTAAGATAAAACTTAAGGGCCCTAACCAGACACAGCGATCTGTCCTCAGTATCAGCAGGATGTAAGATTTGAGTGATCTTACAGTGAATTCTCTCTCCGTTTGGCCAAATTTCTGATTCTTGGCGATGAAGCCTATGAGCAGGCCCTATCGAATCGTACTTTAGTGACATCAAGTGCATGAATCTCGGACACTCGTGCCGCCGTGGCAAAGGAGAGGAGAAATGCTGTTTTCCAAGTCACATGCCGAAACGAAGCACTTCTCAAGGGTTCATACGGAGCTTCCGTAAGTGATTTCAACACTAGGGAAAGATCCAAGGCCGGCCCTTCATAAGATCGTGCTGTTTGAAACCCTTGATAATACCCCGAATCACCGGCTCTTTTGAGAGACTGGTACCCACAGCAACGTCCCGTACCATTTTAACGGAAGAGACATAGTTGGCAATGGAACCCCCGGAGTGTTTCCGTGTCTCTTGTAATTGAGACATGAAACGAGCAATATCGTGCACAGATACCTTATCTGGCGAATGAATGTGATGTTTACAACACCAATTCGTGAAAATAACCCAACATGCATTATACACCTTCTGGGTAGAATCACGATGCATACTAACGTATGCCCGAGATGCCCGACGAGAAAAACCTTTACTCCTCAAACGCTCGGTGACAACATCCACGCATGCAGATTGAACTGCCCTGCGTTTGGATGAAGCTGACGGGTGTGAGGGAGGATCAGGAGATCCGGTCTCACAGGCAGTGGAAGTGGCGACTGCTTGACCTGGGTCAGCAAGTCGGGGTGCCACAATCTGTTCGGCCACATGGGCGCGATCAGTAACATTCCACAGTGAACTCCTTGGAGCTGGCTTAGAATGAGTGGTATCAACGCCGTCGATGGGTAAGCAGAAGCGTCCATGCCCGTCCAGTTTAACGCGAGAGCATCGTCATTCTTTGGCCCTCTGGTCCGGGACTGGTGATACAAACAACGGGAGTTGATTGTTGAACCTGGATGCCAACAGGTTGACCATCGGACGACCCAAAATTTCGCACAGCCACTGAAACACTACTGGGTTGAGCATCCACTCTGTGGGGCTCGGATCCCGAGGCCTCGATAGAGCGTCGGCCAGTACCTTCCGCACACTTGGGATGTGACGGGCGCGTACCTGGCACGGGACACTGTCCACCAGAGTGTAAAACTCGAACGTAAGATCAAGTAGCGAGTGACTGTGGGTTCCCCCCAGTTTGTTCACATAGGACACTACTGTCGTGTTGTCGGTCGCCAGCATGAGCCGGGCGTTGATGAGACGATGCTTCCAGTGATTGACTGCGTTGATCACTGCCGTGAACTCGAGACAATTGATGTGAAGACCTAGTTCGTCTATGCACCACAGCCCCGAGCTCACCTCCCCCTCTAGATGGGTGCCCTGTATACAGGTTCAACGTGGCCCGGATAGAGACTCCTGTGGCCTTGTAAGAGACCGTCCACCACTCCAGATGCGGTCGGAGCCGATCTTAGAGGGCGACAGTCGCACTGTTCTCCTCCTGTGCCAACAACTGGATTAAAAAACGTTGCAGCGGGCGGAGTTGGAGACGGCCCCGTTCAGTGCAGTCCTGGGCTGACACAAGTAGCCCTAACAACTGTTCCCAAAAGTGAACAGTCTGTTGCACCGCTAAGACTTTGGCAATCATCGCCTGAATCTTGTGCCACCGGTCTGGGGGGGACAAAGAAGCGATGGGTCACCGTGTCAAACCGACCTCCGATGAACATGAAGTTCTGTGAGGGGGTTAACTCGCTTTTGGGGAGATTGAAAATCCACCCCAAATGCTCCAAGAGCCGAAGTGCGAAATCGAGCTGACGAGACAGCATGTCCGTCATTCGATTTGCTACTAGCGAGTCGTCCAGGTAAGCGAAGTACCTGACACCCCTCCTGTAGAGGAACCCTACTATGGGGGTGGTTACCCGGGTGAACAGCCAGGGAGCGGATGAAAGACCGAATGGGAGTACAACCCACTCGTAGTGCCTGCCTTGAAAGACAAACCTGAGATACTTGTGATGGTCCGAGTGAATCGGAACAAGCAGATAAGCATCCTTCAGGTCGATCGAAGCGAGCCAGTCGGCCGGCATGATCAGAGCTTTCAGGTCCGCCAAGGTCAACATTCTGAACTTGCGCGGCTTGTGCAGGTAAAACTTGTTGAACGATTTCAGATTGTGAATCATTCTGAGGTCGGCACTGTCCTTCTTGGGAACGAGAAATATCCTGGAGTAAAACCCAGGTGTTATTTCTGGTAGAGCTAACTCCTGTACTGCCCTCTTCTCCACCAACCTGCCGATGGCATCCGCGAGGATGGGAAGATCGGTTTCTGAATAGAAACCTGCCAACAGGATTCGCTTTGAGAATTAGCCGATAGCCGTACCGGATCGTGTTGACCACCCACGGGTCGTCGAACACTTGTTCCCAATTCTCCCAGTAAGTCTGGAGTCTGGCTCCCACTGGGGAAGGAGAGGGGGGCCTGACAGGATGCGGCAGGCGCAACTGTCCAGGGCCAGGTGACTCGGGTTCGCCTACGGGCCAACCGAAGTTGGCGCTGTCGGCGTATGAACCCCTCCAATGAAAGTCACCTGGAAGGGCCCTTGCTGTCCTTAGATGACTTGGCCTTCCCCCAGTTCCCCTTCTTCCCGCGAAAGGGCTGCTGATTGCCCTTACCGGAGCCTTCAGTGCGGGGCTTCTTCCCGGAGGAAGAAGAACCCGACCCCTTAGACCTAGCAGCCGCAGCATCCTGGGGCGCGCTCCGCTTAGGAGTGGCACCCAGGCGCCTATGCAGGGACCCAACAAGATCAAGTGTGTGCCGAGAGGCCTTGGCAGACACAGCAGCCTGTTGTTCCTTCAGAACCCCAGGGATCTTATTATTGAAAAGGGTCCGCTGGTCGGCAGACCAAGGCTGCGAAAGGAGCACTCCCTGGTTGGCAGCGTCCAACCCCGAGGCGGCAAGATACGACTGGCGCCTGAGAAAATGGCACGTGCCGAAGCCCCGGCAACGTACTCCAGGGAAGCATTTAAACCGAGCAGGCAGTTGTAAATGCGCTGGTCACGGTCCGTGGGAGAACCTTCGACCAGACTGGCCGCTGCAGCCAAGTAAGTGTCTCCGTGAGACATGGCAAGCATGGAGTGCTGAGCGAGGGTGTCCAGCTGCTGCAAGGGAGCTTGCGTTACCGTAGCAGCCGGGGGGGCACAGACACCCAATCGCTCAACATGGGCCTCCGCGGTAGGACCAGCCTCGGGAAAAGCAAGGTCATGTACCGGGAATGAACCCTTTCTCCACAATGGTGGAGGCAACGGGAGACCCTGACCGGAGGCTGCCGCGAAGGCATTCTCCAAGAAAGGCTTGATCCCCCGCAGCAAGGTTGATGCGGGGAAAGCCTTGTTGGAAGACTCATCGTATACCTCGGAGGAACCCACAGAGCCGTGGATTCCCGGGGGTACCGGCAGGGGCTTGGGCATGTCCTCAAATAGGTCATAAACCATGGCCACGCGGTCCTTAACCGATAGCGGGAGCAACAGTTCGGGGGAAGGACCTGTGACCACGGGAGCCGCCGCCGTACCGGTGTACCCCACGGCCACAGAAGAGGCCGGGGACGGAACAGCCAGCGGCCTATCCTGAGATAGGGCCGCGAGCTTGGAGTCCACCAGTTTGGAAAGCAATGCAGCGACTGAATCCCCGGACAGCCCGAGGGCCGCCAAGGGATCCGCCGCAGCCGTGGAGGTGGTACCCGCAAGGGGACCCCGACCTGTTGAGCCGGCAACAACCGGGATGGAAATGGACTGCACATACAGCCGGTAGCGCTCGAACGCCACAGGCCCCAGACCGTCGCACAGGACGCACCGGGTGTCCCCGCAAGGAACTCTGCACCGCGGGCAACGATCGTGGGGATCCTGAGACGATAAGAACTTGTGGCACACCCCGCAACTCCGGGTTGCAGGGGTAGAGGGGGTGGATAACGGCGACACATCCATGTCAGGCATTTTTGTACTATGAACAAAGAGCAAAACATGGTTACAACACACGCACCACAATTATTCACAAACAAGCATTTTCACAAGAAAATAAACGAGCAATGTGAATATAGAACATACACATTTAACATATAGAGAAATAAGTGATGTTAACCCCCAAAACATACTAGAACAGGGGAACGTAAGACACAACCTGCATACCAGAACCCCGCAAGTATATAGAAAAAAGGGCGGGAATTTTTTTTTCGTTTGGCGGGAAAATTATATCCAAGCGTAGCTACCGCAAACGCCCCGTAAAAGCACAGTTTATTATTGAGAATAAACAATAATAAATATCACCGAATGGTCGAGGAAACAGGAACGCTTCAGCAGTCTTGATAACACGTCTTGCTAGAGCAAGCGAAGGAGACAAGAGTGAAGGGTGTCACATGGCAGCTGGGTGGCTACGCACGTGCTGCATGAGGTAATTGAGATCTCTGTGGTAGATTTCGCTATAGCAGCAGTTGTGGGAGACAACAGCCTCGGTATAACTGTGGTAACGTATTTGTGGTAATTTGTCTGAACGTTCTAGTTTTTCCTGTTTTATATTTTGAATAAAGCTAAACATTGTATGATTGTACTGTGGAGGTAAAAGAATCTTAAACAGTCGACAGAACTCAATAAGTTTTCTTCCACAATATATTGCAGTATGTATTGCAGTACAGTACAGAGGAATGTACCACAATAAATCGCAATATGAAATTTGTGGCAATACACAGCCCTAAAAATAAATATGCTTTGTATTGTCTAAGGATTTTACCTGATCTGCTAGCATTAGAACTGTTTTCATCGTGAATTTCCGTGAGCAAAAGTTGAACAGATCTTCCAGACTTGGCCCCAGCAAGTCCATCACTAAAACATTGTAGTCCTTCTCCTGTCCAAACCATCTGCAACAACAAAATAAATGTATGTTTCTCTTTTGTTTTCACAGAAATGTGATCAAATGCTACTGAAGGATAGGACACCATCCACTCAATGCATCCACATGGGTGGATCACTCTAAGATTCATCACATAAAACCTGGAGATGAGTTTAATTCAACAAGTGGACTCCTTCAAAATACCATTTACTGAACTAGAGCTTGTAAGACACACCAGTATTGGGAAAGTCCATACTGTCAATGGCTATGTCTACAGTGAAGGCTTCACACATCAAGGTGAGTGTGGACGAATGTTTGAAAAGTGTACCCAAGTTTGACCAATCACTATCTGACATTTCATTGTGTTACTAAAATACCTCAGTATTCACATATACTGTATACAATCAAATTTTGAAACTTATTTTCAGTTTTGTTCTTTCAAACATAGGTATGTGGTATCAAAAGTCATTTGGTGAATATTAGCTGGGTCAAGAACTCATGCCTTGTCATATCAGATTATATTTTAATGTGCAAAGAGTGATTGAGTTGGGTTTTTTTCACGCTGTTAAAAATATTATTCCAGCCATATCAGGTCAGACCAAGACGTGTACCCATGTGGTACCCTAATGCTTAGTCTCTGAAAATATACAATTCTGATAGAAACAAGCAACGTCATTTAAATTGATAAAAGACCCCAGTGAGATGGGAAACAGAACCTGTGAAAATCTAAACTTCATATTCAGACCAACCAATGACATCAGACAGATTGCAATGAGAAAACTGATATGTCCACCATACACAAGGAATCAGAAATATAAAACATAACCTAAACCAAAAACTAAGAAACAGCTTTATAAATCTTGAGCACACTACCTATCTTTGGTGCCAGAGAAGTGGAATGGTGCCATTTCATGGATTGACGTTTAGACTCATTTTGACTCATAGTGGTATGTTTTATACCCGTTACTAATCTCTTTTTGAATTTGACGAAATGCTACTCAATTAGCTCTACATTTTCTCTGGCCATGTCAGTTCTTTTATCCTTAAGATAAGGATTTAGAAACTTTGGCACCCAGCAAGCAGCTATCTTATTCATCTGTAAATGTTCATGAATAATAGTTTCAATACATCCATGGCTTAGATCTGTGTTCAGCAATGGTAATACGTCTATCTGACAGTATACATGGTATAAGTTTTTCTATCTCCTTGATTGAATCTTCAGTGATGAAAGTTAAGGTACGTCCAGACCTAGGGTCATCATCAAGGCTTGTTTTCCCAGCATTAAACATAGCTGCCCAACGCTTAACTGTGGAATACCGAGGGCACCATGTTGGGGAGTACTTTTCTCTAAAGTAAAAAACTTGATGACTGCTCAGTACACATTCTTTTCCATTTCTGTGTCCATTTGGACCCTTATGTTCAAATGGCTCTCACTAAAATAGAAACGGCCTCAACAGACCAAATACACTTGCAATAAACTACTCAAACAATGTACTACATTGTATAGTTCACTGGCCCACTGTCATGGCCCATAGTTGAAAGTTAGTCAGGCTCAAAACTTTTTACCAACCCTCGTAGTTACCCTCGTAGTCGCCTTTTACTACAAGCATGGGTTGCTGAAGACCTATTCTAACCCGGATGTTCACAGGTCACCCTTTAGGCACTATCTTAACTGTGCCATTTGCACTCTACTAGAAAGAACTTTGAATCCTGATAGGCATAAAAATATATAATGCTTGAGGGGAAAATTACAGACTCACTGATGGTTCTATCACTAAATATTTATCATTTAAAATCTCAGTATGCAACACCATGAATATGCCCCCCTGATGATCTGTCACTAAAAAAGAATCCAACCTGGGATGGAGGAGACGAGTGATCAATTTAGCCATCACCAAATAAACAAACCTCGATACATCAGGTACATTCTTCCTATCTTTTTATTGAAAGTATTACATCTCAGTTTGCTTATCAATACACTAATCAGAATCAATGTTTTTTTCAAACCTCCTTGGAAGATTCCAAGCCATGGGAGAAGCTATCTGATCTAGTCTAATGCTTTCTAGCGCAAGTGTCCACTATTCATCATTCTAATCCTACATCCATGACAGATGTAATTGAATCAGCCTGAGCCACATCCTGCAGTGTGTTACATATTGTACATAATATCCTCATGCTACCTTCAACACAGTAAAGCTTACTTCCAATCGCATAACAGTCTAAAAATAGACATGTAATTTAAGTCCCTGGCAACAATCAGATCTGAGAGGAGGTCACACTACACTGTGTTTTCCCTAATGAGTTCACAAAGGGCAGTTCAATGGATTTACACAGTTGCTTGTCAAATTAAAGCCTTTTTTCTACACTTCTTTGTCATATTTACCTGATTGGGGGTCTAAAATTCTTCATTTTCAAACTTATTCACTGATGCCATATCACACACAAATAACTATTGCTGGTCATGCTAATGTATATAAGTATATTGTCAGTCAACTAATAATTATCTTATGATTAAAAGAAGCACTTGCTTTGATCAACAAGAACATATTTTTGATGAAATTCTATTGAGTAATATAACACTTGTAAGTTTTGTTCTGTAAGTTTTGGTACAAGCAAACGTGTTTAGATCGTTCTGTAAGTGTTGGTACAAGCAAACGTAAACAGAGCCTTCTTGAGTGTGACACGGAAATCAGCTGTCTGAAGCCTTTACGTCAGCAATCTCTCTACCTAAACACAGATGGAGTTGGGAGTTGACAGACTTGAGGAGGGTTGTGATGTCAACAGAGCTGACGTACATCCTTGTAGACAACAGCCCCTGATGAAAAGTGCATTTCAAACAATCCCACCACATATTGTTTCCCAACAATACCAGGTCAATATGCCCCTTCACTGGGGGTGTTTTTTGCTGTTAAGCACAGAAGTAGACAGGACCTGTGGTATTGTAGGAGTGCAGACTATGAGTGCAGCACAACAAGCCCAGGCAGCTTAACATGGGTGACAGACAGGTCAGGAAGTCCGCTGGGCAGGTAACATCACCTGTCAATTTTACATCAATGCACAAGACTAGCTCTCCATTTTTATCACAGTCATAATCTATTTCTGCTTCACACTGTAGTAATCAAGGAAAATCACAGCAGAAGGATCAAACCAAACACATGACACAAGACAGGCAAGCATACCAGCTATAGGGCGGCTCCCACAGTAATCTCACAGCCAAAGATGGAAACTGATGCTATTTTTTACCTGCTCCAATTATTGTGACTGGTAGTTTATCATAACCAGGTTAAGAAATGGGTGAGGTTGCCATTCCTGGGATCACAATAGGTCCTGGTCAGAAAGTGAAACTGGATTTATAGATACTGATAAACTATACACAAATAAGCAGCAATAGAAATTGGCACTAGTCCCATAGTCCTTGCCAAATGCCCAATAGTTAAGGTATCATAAGGACGAGTAGAATTTTGCTATTTTTAAGGGGCTTGCTATATGTTATGATTATAAGGACTAGTGGACGAAAACTGTTAGTTTCTATCGCTGATAAGTGAAAGAAAAGCACTTGTACAAGTTTGATATCCATAAGTAATCAACATGGTGTAAATCAGAGTTGTTTCAAAACATGCCACTCCTTGTCTTTCAACAAGAAGGATGAAAACTGAATTGAATCATAGTGAAACATGAACACCATTACTGACTTCATAGATATTTTAGAAAAATGAATAGAAATTTCCAATGTGCGTCAGTTTTATTAAGAATTAACTTATCTATGGGATCAGAGCAAATCAAAGTAACCTTGACAAGGAAGTTGTAATGACTTAACTTAGCCAAGGTGACCTGGTTTTTCAATTTCCCATACCATGAGTAAACACTGTGTTGTGTAACAAGGAGGTGAGTGTTAGCATTTGGTGGGTGCAGGTGGATACATGTAAAGGAAAGTGGAAAATAGGAGAGAATAGTTCCCCTGTCTCATGCTAGTCAGGATTCAAGAAAAAGACATGAAACAGGTCTCTTATTCAAAAGGACATGACACAGACTTGCTAGTTTCAGTTATTACTGCATTTGCTCTTTTGTGAGTGTTGTTTCACATACTAAGATTCTTTCATGCAAATGAAACTTTAGTGATGACATCTTAAGAAAATAAAATCATGCAAAGTTGTGTCATACAAATCTTATAATACCATCCGGAGACAAGTAAAGTGTCAGACAAAGTGAAACTGCAACAGATAATAGACTTAATGCTAGATAAGATTATAAACTTTACTGTCAGCTGAAATGGTTCTCATCAATTCAAGGACTATAAATTAAAATTCCAGTTTGATACAGCGAAAGTGCAGTAGGATTTAACTCTTGAGTAACAAGTCCCTTTGTCTTTGCTGAATCACTCTACCTAGCCTGGGGCTAAAATGGGTCTTGATGTCAACATGATATGATGTAGCACATGCGAAATGGTCCATAAAACAATACACCAGGCAGTTAGAACATTCAGATCCACGCAATTGTTTGTTTGTTGTTTAACGCCCCACTCACCAATATTCCAGCTATATGACAGCGGTCTGTAAATAATCGAATCTGTACCAGACAATCCAGTGATTGACATCATGAGCATTGATCCACGCAATTGAGATCGATGACATGCATCAGCCAAGTCAGAGAGCCTGACCACCCGATCCCGTTAGTCGCCTCTTACGTCATGATATGTATCATCTCGAATGGGAAAATGGGTTTAACCTTATACCTTTGCAGGGCTCCATTTGGCTATATACAATATGCACCAGCCTATTATGTTGCATGCACCATCCGTCACCACTTGCCCCTTTCCGTAACCTGGAAAAACCTTTCCCCCAATCGATAAATGTAATGTGCAAAAATACGACAAACCGATCAGAATGCGGGTATGACTTCCAAGTACAGTCAAACAACTTTTTTTTGAATTTACACGTCTTGCATTTAAAATTATAAAATATAACCATGATACAGTGTTCTTGATGTGTTCAGTAATAGCATCTTGACATGGGAAAACTACACGAAGCA